CATTTGCTTTCCGATTGAATCGTAAGATGATTTGATTTTAAAATCGAGGAAATAAAGTGTCGCACAAAAATACTGGGTCGTTTAGTGTGACCTCTCTCTCCCTACCCCCAAAATATCAAAATAGCGAGGTTTTTTAGTTTACAAACGGCCCAATATTTTTGCAGGCCACCTTTTTTTTTCGATTCTGGGTTAAAAAAAATTATGATTCAAGTGGAATGTAAATGAGTATCCATGAGTTTTTATTACCAGTTCTAATAAAATAATAAAACTTCTCCTCATTTCTGAAAATTTTCTTAGGTAAAAAAAGTTAAAGCCAGTTTTTAGTAAGAAGATTTTAATTCATTTGCATATATTTTTTTCTTGCATTTTTAAACAAGTTGACCAAATACTATCTAAAATCTGATTACTCAATTTTTATTTTGCATATTTGATGATTAATGCATATAATTTTCATTAGCGCAATTGGAAAATTAAAATGTAACGTTGCTTTAATATTATTATATTGCTGTTTATTATTTTTATTTATTGTGCATAGTATGAATGAGCTACTCTATATCAATAATACTATTGTCCTTGAATATGACAGATTGTAATATATCTCAATAAAGACTATTTTAAAAAAATGTAATTTCGAAACCGCCAGATCATAATCGTAGGTTCATTTTTAATGAAAAAAAAAATTTTGCACCACTACAAACCGTAAAGGTCTCTTAAGTACTGTTTACTAGGCCAAGAGTTGAGCTGAGAGGCGATTGGGCCAAAATCACGTTAAACCGCCAGGTCTTCCCCCTTAACTAATTATTTAATTGAGAGTACCCACTTTATAGAGGCTAGGTGTGGCCCAGGAGGGTCTTCTGACTCCAAGGTCGATGATCCAAGACCGATTTAAAATTACTAGTCATCAGCCGGATTCGAACCTGGGATATCGAGCTCTAGAAGTCAGTGCTCACCAACTGAGCTACCCTGCTCCCTACTTTCAATAAAATAAACACTTAAATGAAAAAAACAACAATATACCATTATATTAAACTATCTGGTGCGCGCATCACACAACTTTCCATTACCGCTCTACTAAAAAAAAATGTATATAGGTATGATTGTGTTTCTATTTTATGTTATTTGTTTCTTTTTTTTTTTTATTTACTCTCTTCATCAGTATTATTTATTTACTTTTTATATTTATATTTATTTCTCTATTATTTGTATATATTGTATGAATGAGAACTTCTAGCCCTAATACTTATAGCCCTCCAGCAGTGGCTGATTGTATTATTATTATTCAATAAATAAATTAACTTTAAAAAAAATATTATTGTCTGGCGAAATGAGCTATTACGAAATTTTTTCAATGGAACTAAACCTTAAAGACACACATTTGGGAGTTTCGGTCATATTTATCGGTGTAAAAACTCAATTTGACCATCAGACACTATTTATTATGTCGTTTGAAAGTTATAAAAAAACTCATAACTCCATCTGTCTATTTATATAAAGAAAGATTTAAAAATAAATACATTAAATTTTGAAAAGGCAAGGATCGTACTACATAGTAAGAATTATAGGAACTGAATTTCTAACACTTTACTTATATTTAAATTCTTATTTTTTTCTTTTGGAAAATTCACCAAAATACAGTTACGAGCTTTTAAATACAGCACCGACAGGTCAAAAGTCGTCACACTACTGTAATTGGATAATTTTGTGATTTCTCAGAGGGAAAATCAGGTGACTTCATTGAATTACCACCACGTGATGGATAATTCTAATTAATTAAAAAAATTAATTACTTTTTTATTAGGACTCTTGTTACTTAAAGTATAATTCCTCAAAATTTATTTACTTTTAATTTTTTTTTTAAATTGTAATAATAATAACATAAAACCGCTGCCAATTATTACCCAAAGTCATTTCATTTTCAAAGTGTTATTAATCACTTTCTATCTCACTTCCATTGTCTCTTTTTCTCTTTAAATATAAATAAATATATATTAAATTATTCTATTGTATTAATTTCTAGAAGATTTATAGAATGTTCAGAAGATATATAAATACATGTTTACCAATTTCAAAGCGTCATTTTGCTTTCTGTTCTGAAGGTGGCTTTTTGTTCTATTATTTATCTAATGTAAGTTAATGATACATGTATGTTTTACGTCTATCATTAAAGTAATAAATAACAGCCTTATCTTGCTATCATTCTAACTCCTTCATATATTGCTGAAACAAATAATGTGTTTATATTTTTATAAATTTAATTTAATTTATAGATTAACCTGAGTTACGTTTGTAGCCTATAGGTGTAATTGGAAATTAACAGTAAAATAGATTTTATTAAAAATGATATTTTGTCGTTTTGTCAGCCACTTTGGATTTTAGTACCATACATGAAAATTTTCAAAAAATTCCTAGACTAACACTAATGATACCGAAAATTCATACCGAATTAGGTTCTTTTATCCGTTATGTAACAGTAATATTAAAATATGGCTCTAAACAATGTGGCTAGCAGGCCACAACATTTAGGGACAAATACAATTCTTCATGTTCCTTATAAGAATAAGCCAATAGAAAGGATAAGAATATGAAAAGTACGTTGAATTTGTAGAATAAGTAAAAATACCAAAAAAATGGTCAATTTGTGATTAGCAAGTATATTCTTAGTAACAAAGAATTTATTACTTTGAAAGGCAAAGAACGTTTTTGTCGCCGTTAATAATTTTAAATAGAAAATATTTTTTCAATTTTCCTAATTTACCCCCCACACGGTTCCTGTTTTATGAAGGTGTTAACGCGGTAAGTGGAGGTTGTTAGGGGATCGGTGTAAAAAAACCTCATGTTTATCACCCTTCCTTCCTCTATTAGGCAATGAATAATTTACTAAATAATTTACCCACTTTTTTTTTTTTTTTGGTTTAGCGTCGTTAATAACTTCAATTAATAACAGGTCCTCAGGTAAGTGTTTTTAATATTTTTCTCAGCACGTTTCATATAAAGGAAACCGAAAACTCAAAAGCTGGTCCTATACTGAGAAAACACCGCAGATACCTCATTTCTATTTTTATAAATATAAAAAAAAAACAGTTGTTTAAACAAAATATTAATGTTAGTTAACAACAACAACAAGCAAAATACCCTTTATCTCCTCTTCACAAGGCAGCAATAAGAAAAAAAATGTTTTGATCTTTAAAAAAGAATTGAAAACTAGAAGAAGACCTTATCACTAAATCTTTTTAGTCACATAGAACTAGTGTTGCCCAAAATCGGTCTTGGTTTTGCACCTTGCAAGACCAAGACCAAGGCCGCCTAACTGTTCAATACAAGCAAGACCAGGACTAGTAAAAAATTCGATTTTTTGAACAGAAATTAAGGCAAATTAGTTACTAATAGTTGACGATCTTAGTTTCTATATGTAAATAATTGGTATAACCAATATTATACTATAACCAATAGTATACTTTTGCATTTAACTCTTCTAATTTTACATTCAGGCTTAGTTTGGTTTCTTCTATCTAAAAAATGACAGTTATATCTCTATAGTAATAAGCTAATAAGTAACTGCAAGACTGTTGCGAAATTCTTGCGCAAGATCAAGACCATGACCAAGACTGAGTTTGCAAGTCCAAGACTCGTCTCGGTCTCGCATTTGGGCAACACTACATAGAACCAAATATTCACTTTAAATTGAGTTTAACATTGTCTTTTTTGTCCTCAACGTTGGCCCTTGGCTGATAATTTTTGAAACATAAAGTATAATTTATTTGAAAATCAAACTTTTAGTAGTAAAATATTTTAACACATATTCGTCCGCATGACTAAATTCGTCATTTCGCAATCACAAAAATTCTCTCATTTGTATATTACAGAAACGTTTTTGACATTTTTTTGTCCCCTGTTCACTTTTCAATCCGCACCTGTTCATTACATTTATTAACAATCAGCATTTGCTGACTAAATAATGTGAGCAGAAAATAATTTATTCCATTTCTTTTAATTCTTGATAACTCAGATTCTAATTTATTCCAAACAGAGATAAAGAGTGAAAGCAGGTGCAAACAATTAATGGACGAATGTGTGTTTACCAGCTTTCATTATAGCATGCTAAACTATGATGAAAAAAAGAGATACGGTGATAAAAGACGAATATACCTTTCTCTTTTGACTTGTCTTCTTCGCTGTTTCCTTGATATGAAAATTCTTGGTTAAAACCTTAGGTTAAACGCCACTGTTTGGCTCAGTATGTGATGTTCCAAAAAGACGCTCTTATGAAAAACTTTTACCGGAAATACAAGAGGAAAATCTTGCGATAGGTTAAGCTACTGAATAAAGAAGCATGTAATTAATATTTATGTGTGTAGTATGTACTTTAATACTAATGTTCCAATTATATGAATACTTTGCCGACTCTCTACCTATACTGCTAGGATTTAAGTTTTAGTTTTTAGATTGGTAATTTTTCTATGATAGAAATAAATAAATATTAGTGGTTACTTAGTTTGATACATAGGTTAAATTAACAGAACATAGGTTAAGTTACGGAACACTATTCTCACACTACTGACTGTCCTTAGTTAGGGTTCCTCATACTAATCAAAATGACGCACTTAGCGGCATCTGATCAAATATTGCACCGATTAATGCATCTTCAAATTTATATATATATATCTGAGACACCTGTGTATATTTGTGCAATAAATCAAAACAACAAACTTGTGTATAGTTGTGCTCTCGTTTTGTGCAATAATTGTATTTATGGAAAAACGCATTTTCAAGTATGGAATTTTTACAGATGTAAGTTCAATTTTCAAGTTTCAATCCAAGATTCATAAAGTGAAGAATATCATTTAAATTCAGTGATAACAATAATTAAGTATGTTTAAATGAGTTCATAAAATAAATTAAAATTGAATATGGCGGTAAAAATATATTTTTTTATTGTATTTACTCACGGGGACATTGATTAAAACGAATAATTCTTCTGCTAACCTTCGCGAGGATTCGAGATGGTGAACACAAGTGATAATTGGATCGCTATGGAGATCAGCGGATACTGGCCGCTTCATTCGTTCGCTTTACTGCAGATAACGCCCTACCACCGGATTCCAGTAAACACTTATGTCATGGCGTCTCTCAGGCTCTTCCTAGCCGATTATTATTTAATCTACATATTTGCGAATAATGACTGTTTATGTCGTGCTCGTCAACATTTACTTGGATGTTTTCACTAATTTTATTCAGTTTTAAAAGTATATAATATATGAGCTGCTCTTATATCACTATTAGAAGAATAGAATAGAAGAATCAACTTTATTCTGGGACAAAGTCCCTTGAGAATAACAATATTGTACATAAAATTAACATTACATCTGGCCAAAATTCATATTACAATAAAAAAAACAAAAACAAAAAAAAATAAGTGATAAAGGAAGTATTTACATAACTGCACAGATATAGTAAAGACATAATATGAGCAATAAGGTCCTAATACTGCAAAATAGTTGCTATAAACAATAAGCTATGGAATTATAAATGAGCGACAAATAACTTTTGTTTTCATGCCATAGTATAATTGAAAAAAATAATAATAAAAGAGTGGATAAATATTTACTTTAAATGATTTACATATGTATCTTAGTATGTTCGAAGAATACAATAATAGTATTGTAAACATTATACAAGTCCTATATAATCTAAATCCTATGATGTTGATTGATTGGAGAAAAGAAAAGATAATATACATATGGGGGAGATTATATACATATATAACATACATTATAATGGCTACCCAGCTTATTACTATTGTCCTTAGATGTGACAGATTGTAATGTATCTCAATCAAGAATTTTATTTGATATCGTAAAAAACAAAAATTATTTATAATGATATGGAGATGTTTTACCGTAGTTTCCAATTTCAGTTAAAGTTAGTCGGGGTGCATTAAAAAAATACTATATTATATAATAGTATATTTTTTGCATTTTACAACGTTTCGACCTAAGTTGTAGGTCTTCTTTAGAACATTCCGTCTGGCAATGCAGAAGGATGTGTATGGCGACTGACTGAATGAGTCTCCTGCACTGCCAGACCGAATGCCCTGAAGAAGATCTACAACTTAGGTCGAAACGTTGAAAAATGCAATAAATATACTATTATATAATATAGTATTTTTTTAACGCACGCCCCGACTAACTTCAACTGAAATTAAAAGTATTTAATTGGAAAAAGTAAGGGTATAGTAATTTTGTTAATAAGTCTGGCCCAAATTTATAACTAAAATATTATGGAAGTAAGACTTATAAGTTTCTTCAGAGAAGCCAAAGACTTATAATCTGTATCACTAGAACTCATGAAGGGTTCAGTACTTTGTTAGAAAGTACTTTAGTTTCAAGGTCCACGATAGTGCAGGGAGATGATTGTGACGAGCTCGCACTCAACCGCCAAATTTTCCCCCTAAATTAATTATTTATTTATGAGAGGTCACTTTATAGAGGCTAGGTGTGCCCCAAAAAGGTATGCCAATCCCAGTGTTGATCAACGATAGATGAAACTAAAAAAATAATTATCTTCCAACAGCCGAATTCTAACCCAGTACTTTGAGCATAGAAAGTCTATGCCTAATCCACTGAAATGAGTTACTCCAATTCTTAATGACGTAAAGTACATTGAATTATTACTTCTCCTTCTTCCTCTAAATCCTATTCGTCCTCAACCGTGGAGTTGCAGTCCCAATCCCATTTTAATCGGTTTGTATCCAATCTGGGCGAGTTGACATTTATTTCGAGGAGGACACCGTAAATTTCGACCTTCCCACTTTGGTTAGGATATATTTCATTGATTGTACTTCTAGAAAACCTCCGTATGCCAGAAAAGGCGACGTAGGGGATAATCGAAAAAAAAGTCGCAATCCACCTATAATTCTGGTTTCTGTCCATGGCTAGTCTAATTCTTTAGGATAGTGCATCCTCCAGTGCCTCAATAGTTTAAATACATTTTTAAAAAAATTAATAAAATACATAATATAATATAAAATAAATAAATTTAATTAAATACATTTACATACCTGGGTCTACCACAAGGACATCTTACCAGCCTAGTTTTCATGTCCACCTGGCCTTTTGGGTATCGTTCATTCTACTGACATGCCCATACTGCTCTTCTACTATGATTACATTAGCTACTGCTCTTCTTGGATGTCACACACTGATCAGAGACCCAAACCCACAGCAATTTTTTCATTTCTGATACAGTCCCGTTTGTACTTACCGATTGTTCTTCAGAGAAATCTAATTTCAACTTATGTGATCTTGCTTAAATGATTGTTGAGGGTCGTCCAAATTTTCTATTCAAATAGGAGCATTGGAAGTTATACAGATTTAAACATCTTAAAAAAAATACTATTTTAACTATAACATAATATTTATAAAGCTTTATAACACATTTATATTAACGTTAGAATAATATTAAATTTAATATTTATTTAACACGCAATAGTAAATGTATGTCAGGATAAGAATAGGGTTCGAAAAGTTCAATATTTAATCCTTAAACGATATTACAGATCATGAGGTATTGTCAATCACATTTTCAATATATATGTTAGCTATTTTAGAAAATAATATCACTATTTAACTATAAACATATACTCACTATTTAAAAATTTACTTACTCCGATCGTATGATTGTATTCAGATAGTTCCAATCTGGAAGAGAGGTACTAACAGACTAGCTCAAAGAACATTTCTATTACGACAAATGCGGTCCTATTATACCAATAATCACTCACTACAACAAATTAAGATATATAATAACCATAATAATTATTATAGATACATTTATTACGAATATAAGCATGAAAAAGCTTGGTTGTACCTTAATAATTCTGTTTAACATTTAACAACAGCTTTAATAATAGTGCAATAAAATCATTGAGTAACTGTTATGTAATTAGATATTTTATATATTAATACATGTGTATTAAATTCCTTAAAAAATAACTAATTAATTTCTTACTATTCCTTATGCATTTATTGCTTATTACAGATTTGGCATTTAGTATTTAGTTATTTGGGTTCTTTTTCAGACCTCGCATTGAAAGAAGTCCCGAAAATAATCTACTTCAGTCGAACCGAATTTTGAATATAATATAATTGATATATAATTATATATATTTTGTCGTCCACCCCTTCCATTCAGGAGCTCCTTCCTCCCACTGTGGCGCGAAGATGTATTTATTTTATTATGTTAACTCTTTATCATGTTGCCGGGCACATGCGGATTTACGGGGGAGGGGTTTTCGGGCGAAGAATAAAACTAAAACAGAAAAAAATATTAAAAACTATCTCTTAAAGTATTCTTGTTCGTGTAATTATATTTAATAGGATTTCAAGAACCACTTAAACACCATTTCATATAGGTAATTAATTTCTTTATTTTTTTTTCAAATTAACTATTGTTATGTATATGAAAAAAAAAATCTTTCGGGCTGAAGCCCCCCAAAATTAAATCCTGGAGCCGCTAGTGTTGCCGGGCAACGCGTGTTTTATTGTAGCTCGGCCACCCCGCCTCCTTTACTTCAGTACATAAGGAAGGGAGGAGACATGAGTATTGACCTTAAAAAGTCAATGCAGATGATCTTTGATAGCTGTTTCTTTCCAGTAATGACCTATGGCTGCCAAGCTTAATCATTAACAAAACCCCAAGAAAGTAAAATCCATGTGTAGTAGAATAGTTTATCGTGTAGTATCGTGATGTGAAGAAAAGGAAGAGGGCATGATGTTTGAATCTTAAGTCCTTCTTAAAGTCCTGTTTCCTACACAAAGATACAATAATTTTAATAAGAAAAAAACCAAATGTAAATGGGCTGGTCATATTTTACGGTGTAAAGACAATACATTGATCATTAATACATACAATACATCACTCATTAAGACAATACATGGTCTAGAGCAGTCACGGAGTGGGCACCATAAGATCGAAAAAGAAAAAGGAGGCCAACAAATGAAGATATGGAGTAATTTATTTAAGTTGATGGTGAAACCACTATGGTGAAGAACTACCGGGCGTGGACGGAGAATGTTTGGAAAATGAAGTCGTCCAAGGACTAGTCGTCTAGGGAAGTACTGACTATTTTACTTGTTGTCTTCTGAAAGATCTGTGCTAGGGGTGGCCGAATGGGCTAAAGCGTGTGCACAGCACCGCTAGTTGCCTGGCAACCGGATAACAGAGATTTGAGATGATTTAAAAAAAAAAGTACGAGTTCGCGTCCCGGTACCGGAGGGAATTTTAAATTCCCCGCCCTCATCCCACCCGGTCCGGGAAAAATCCCGTATAGCCTAAAAGGCGAGGTAGGGAAGAACAAATAAAAAAAAAAAAAAAAAAGATCTGTGCTAAAAAAACGACGAATTAGCAAATTAAATTTTGGTAGGTTGGTTGTAAATAATATTTCAAAATAACTTCTTACCTCTTTTAATTACGGGTAAGAATAAATTAATGTTTGATGGAATAATAATAAAAAAATTTCTTATTATGAAATAAACACAACGAAGACAAAGTCCTCCAATCTTTCACATACAAAATGAGTAATACAATAAACAAACAGATATAAAAAAAATAGCGGGTAGTAATACATTAGTACAATTTTTAACACACAAGTAATTTCTAGTCTTTATAAAACTCTTCGTTATTTTCTTTTCGATTATAGAATTATTTTAATTGTTAATCATGCTACGGTACAGAAATGAAAGTGATGGGGAGAGGTGAGGCAGTAGGCTTATGCCACTAAACAATAAAACAAAAAAATACTGGTAATTTCAATTTTTATCTTTAATTGTTGTATATTATTATTATATTGTTGTATATAAAATCATGAATTTTATTATTAAAAATTATTGTTTTTATAAAGGCATAAATAAATGTATTTCATAAATAAAGGCTATTTCAATGAATCGGCAAATAGGTCCTAACATTTTAATATATACTTAAAGCACTCATTTCCTATTTATGAATTTAAGTCAATAGGTACTCAGAAATTGAAATTTCTGATACTGCATTGATTAGGCCAAATAAGCAACTATTCCCCAAAATCCAAAAAAAAATGATATTTGTATTCAAATTTTCACCTTAATTTTCTTCTTTGAAATTTTGCCATACAATTAAAAACTCCCAACAGCGTTAAAACCACTTCGAATTCATTACTCTACTATTGAATAATTTTTTTTGTCTTTAAAATTTAAAAGTACGTTCTGAACACACTGCGAAAACATCTCAATAACTCTAACAAATGGTCCTAACGCACAAAAAATAAAAACAATAGATCGTGTCGTATTGAATAACAAACTCCAACCGACTGGAACTCGGCGAAAGGTAAATTATGGCTCCATTTCTTTGAAATACAGATGGCAGTTTATCTTTAGGGTGAAGAGATGAAATTTCTCTCAAAGTTATCTTGTCTTACCTCTTATATATTTATTTGAATTTTAAAGTGCTGTATTTCCTTCAAGATAATTTAATAAATAAAAGTTACCAATTAACCAGTCTCAATATTACATTTCTTAAGACATTTCGAATTAGCTTTAAAAAATCTTGTGCGGTGGAGAAGAAAAAGGTATTGCATATAGTCGATACCATTTTTTTTTTAAACTATATTTATTGAGAGATATTACAATCTGTCACAAATAAGGACATTTATAATAGTGTTCAGAAAGCACATTCACACTCTAACAACAATAAATAAAAATAAATAATACAGAAAAAAAAAATACTAAAAGTAAATGTATATAAACTAAAACAAACAAAAAGAAACTAAACCAATAAAAACAACTACTCACATACACTCATGCTTCTATACTATAACATTTTAAAGTAAGCAATATGAACCTGCACATTTGTTACTTTAACATGGTGACGACGATATATAGAGGAGTGAAAGTAAGCATTATCAGACAGAATTCATTTAAACCACTCAATTAACATGTTTTCAATTTTGGAATAGTGAATTGCATGTGGATTAGCCCTACTAGGATATCACTTTAAAAAAAAATGGGAAGCTTATTCTACTTCAAAGATGGTTTGGAAATGAGTTTTTTGCTCAAAATACGCCAAAACTATTGATTTTACATCTATGAAATAAAGGTTATTACATAAACTATAGGACATATTCTCTAGTTCCAGTTTTATATAATTTTTTTATCGTCAAATGAGTCAGAAAGGAAATATTGTCAACAAAAGAAAAATGGCGGCGCGATTGGCAAAGATACGATGTGGCAAATTTGAAATTCGGAATGAGTGCATCGAAATCAACAAAATATTTCCGATACCCACTTAGAAACTCCCGGACAACTTTCTTGGTATCCTCTTTTTTTAGTAACAACTGTATTGATTTCACATTGATATAACGGGGTTAATCAAATTCGTTAGAACGATACAGTAACAACCCTATCCCATATATATATATATATATATATATATATATATATATATATATTCTTGCCACTTATTTAACCCTTCCTATTTTAACAAAACTAAGTACTGAATATGAAAACACAAATACCACATAACAGAACCTAAGTGGATCAGTATTGCTTTCAACATTTCTATTAACTTAACATAATTATCAGAATGAATTTTCCACCTCACTATTCCATCAATGGAGTGAACAAGGCATAGGATTTCCTAGTATTGGATCGCCGTAGAACTTAATGAGCACGACGAATTGATTCTGTTTCCAGTAAGTTGGGATAGGTTGGGACGAATTCAGAGCGATTCCTATGCAGCTGCCCCTCCGCGGATGGCTCAGATAACCCGGGTTTCCATCACCCTCCAAGCTCGGGATTTCCTCGAAATTGAATCCGCCTACTCTCGACCGCTGATATTACTCCGTAGGGATTATGTACGCGGAAGTGCAAGATGAGATAGTTTAGCTCGAATTGCTGCAACTAATAGGCAGTAACTGGAATCGCTACAAGTTATTGCATTAATGAAGTCACTTTCAGAAAGTTTAAATACTAACAACCAGGGATGCCCAGGAGAAAATATGGCTCAAGTTAGGAGATCAAAATGTTTGAGAGGTGTATAATTTTACTGAATTTTGAATTTTTTTAAGGTTTCAATTTGGAGAAACTTTCAAACCATAGAATAAGGAGAAACATGGAACAAGCTATAAGCAAATAAGCAAATCAAATTCATTATAATCACCTATTCTTCAGTCTCTCTCTCTCTTTTTTTTGTTATCACTACCTCGCAATACCTAGTATATGGAGGGGGGAGAAGAGGTCTTCTAGAGCTACAACCAAATCTATTCTAACCAGAGTGGGAAGGTCGAGATCCATTCCGTGATTCCGCCATGAATTAAATTTTAACATACCCAAGCCTGATTCGAGCCGGTGTAGTTAGACTCGAGACTGTTAAAGTTTATGCTTTAAAACTCTTGGCCATCACGATCTTTTTTTTTTTTTTTTAATTTTTCTATCTCTACCTTCTCTTGCAATCCATTTTTAGGGGGGGGAGGCTTCTGCCCGCAGTCTTTTTTTCATATATATATATATATATATATATACATATATAACGAAAACTAATCTAAAAAAATAAAGAAAGATACTACATATATGAAATGATGTTTGTGTGATTCTTGAAGTCCTATTAAATGTAATTACACGAACAATAATACTTTAAGAGATAATTTTTTGCCATAAAACATGGTTACATTTTACCATTTTGGGAGGAGGCTTCAGCTCGAAAGCACTCCTCCCTCTCCATCCTGTGCTTGCAATATTTATTAGAACACTGCTAACAATCAAAAAGTCACAGACAATCAGTTTTTAATAAATTAGTTGTTTATACACACAAAGCTGCAATAATAACACGACACTAAAACCCACTCAACACATGCATCAATAATAATAACAATTGCTTACGTGGGAGCTAGTTGTGAAAAACCACTGTAAAATCATGAAAACTTATATTTGTATGAGTACAAGAAGTGAAATAAATCCTCTCATGTACCTTGATAACTAAGACTGAACAGTTGACGGACTTAGAGACATCACATTAAGAAAAAACGTAATGCGTTGAGTCACCTAAGTAAACTGTAATAACGTCACTCAAACAATAATCGAAATAAAAATCATGACGGAAAGTTGCTTACATATGGTTATTGTGGTTATCGGCCAACAGAGTGCTTCACAAATTTTCGGGACTGCAATAAGATACCAATACAGAGACTCCAAACATTACAATCGAAACATGTTTACCCTTTTAAGCAAAGACCTTCGGTACGTTTGCAACACAAACTTACACATGCCAACTGTTGACGAATACACACTAACTCGCTTCCAAACAATTTAATTACAAATTGCAAGGACATAACAATCCACTAATAGTCAGAACGTCCACTCCACTACCTGACGAATCAAATAAATGGTACGAATCAATAACTATCAAGGTGGTGGATGAGAAACCGTCTGTAATTGTCTAGTGACTAAGATAACGCTGCACAGATAACACATCAACGCTACACCACTTCTTTTTGATTTGGCATGTCTTTATTTTATCACTGATTTTGATTGAAAATTCACTACTTGTCAATGTTAATTAATAGCGGTATGATAAAAAAAACCCTGGTTATGCACGCGCTTAGAGAACATCATCAGCCACTAATATTGAAAATTCTATAAGGATTCCACAATCATAACGAAGTTGCTTATGTCAAAAATAACATCAGAGGTGGTTCCCAAAGCTTTCTTGGAAAGGGGATGCATGTTCCCCTTTCCAAGAAAATTGATTGATTTCCTCTTCTTAAAGACAGGGCGAGCGAAAATTAACTTAGAAAAATTATAATAACAATACACTTGCTGTCTGGTCCATATTTTCCTCTTGTTTCCATGTTTTGAAGCCCCGCGAAATCGGAAAAAAAACACCTGTACTATTACACCACATGATGGGTCATGGGTTCAGTACTTTGTAAGGAAGTACTGTTTCTAGTCCAACGGTTGTGCAGGGAGGTGATTGGGCCAGGATCAGGCTCAACTTGTTTTCCCTCTTAATTAATTATTTAATTGAGAGTATTCATAGAGGCTATGCAGATGTTGTGCCCGAGATGGGTCTCCCTGACCATAGAGTCTACAGTCGGTAAAACAGAATAAATAATTAAAATAATAAAGTTCTTGTTTCGAGTTTCAAACTGTAGCCCTGATGATGACCCACATGTTTTGGTCGAAACGTTGGCAAACCTATTAAAGAAATTTTGTCTGAAATTCCTGACAATTGTGTTTCATACTTATAATCCTTCAGTCGACTACTTACCCATCAATAATTAAGTACCGACCATTCGTATTAGAATCCTGAACTTTAAACTTAGGAAGTCAGTGCCTTACCCAATGAGCTAATCCCCTACTCAAGATCTGTGGTCCACCATGCTCCTTCTTCCAAGAAATTTTATTGCTCTTCTGTTCATAAAGACAGTTCGAGGGAAAGTAGGATTAGAAACATTGGTGTTACGGTACCATTACACTCGCTGTTTTTCCACTTTTTTCTGATTTGAAAGCTCCTCCAAATCGAAACCAAATATATGGTTATCTGCGGAAATCCATAACCCCGTCAAAATGTGCCACCTCTCATTAACTTTGATGGCAACATGTTCCTCTTCTGGGCACTCCTGAATAATATTTATCTACAACCATAACGTTATAAAATGCTCTATCTAATTTTTCTATGGAGTCATAGTATGGGACGTGCTTGATATATGTGTTGTACCCTCTAACTTCAATCTCTCAAGCCAAAAAGAAGGAAATTTTATTCAGTTTGAACTATGAGTAAGTATATGAACTATGAAAGTACCGAAAATTAAACACGCTCAGTATCATACTAGTTTCTCGAGTTCACGTTAATTTCTATTTTTGTTTTGGATTTTTTTTGCAAACGAAGTTTGTGTAGGCGACTTAGATGGAACTCAATTCAATTTTCTAAGATTTTTTCCCTCCCCGGCTATCTATCCTCCTAGGTAAGTTGCCTAAGCGACGGTAAAGGTGTTTATCTAATATAAACTGGATTGGAAGCCGAATCGGTTTAATAACAGTCGATTACCCAGATGGGGGCATTAGGGGCAGGGCCAGCGGGAGTAATAGCCCCCCAGCCGCTAACGGCCCCAGCTTAGCAGTAACTGCTTGAGTAATTATTTCTGGGCCACAGGTAACTTCTCTAAAATACTTATCTTATTTCTAGGGCAGAGGTACCATCTCCAAAATAGTTATCTTATTGTCCTGGAAATAATCTCGGTCCTCCAATGAGGTACATCAAGAAAAAGGGTTATCAAAAATGTCTCTTGACCTTGCTATCACAAACTCCAAAAAAAAAAATCGGGTGCAGTGTGAACATCTCACAAGTATCATTTACCACCCTACTTTGAGTTAATATAGGAAAAAATTATCAATGGTATAATATATTAATTACCATACGTTTTTCTCAAGCGTCTGATCTATTAAACTTTTCGACACCATCCATTTCCGTCTTACAATAGCTCCAGAGATAAATCAGGTAGCTAACTTTATTTATATTTCACTGTGGGTATTTTTAATTATAAACTATAGGTATATGAATGAAAACGTGTTTATTAAACTTTTTTAAAAATTACACAAAGTAAAATATAAATATATAAAGCTACAACACATAGACAATGGAAAATTCCGTCTGTCGAGGTCTGTGTGTAATTAATAACAAATATTTATCACATTTATAACCGAAATAAATCAGCAATAATATATCCACAGTATTATTATGGTTTTATACATCCATTCTAGCTATTTTCTTTTTTCCTGTCTCATCTGTTTAAATAGAGTTTTCAAAAAAACAAACATTAATACATCACAAATCCAATAAATAAGAAATTGGGATCTTTGCAATGTGACCTGCTGTACATAATTGCTTAAGGTTTTCCAGTTAGAACCCTTTAAGAAACCAAATAATTCTTCTGGAGAACAGGTCCGCTGCCCAAAACATTTCTCTCTCAACTCACTGTACATGTGGAAAGTCCCCAAAAAGTGAATGAATATCCTCTTTTTCTTGAGAGTTACATACCGGGCAGCAATCGTTGTCCCCCACCATCCATGGTTTTACGCTTAAATCGAGCAACTCTGTCCTACATCGAAAAATTGACCCTATAGTCACAATATCAAAACTATCATTAAGATAAGGTGTAACAGTGCCCACTGAACATAGCCCTGCGTAAATAGCAAAACGTGAATGAAGAATTTTATCTAGATTATTTGGTTTTTCTAAGTCCTCTACCCTATGTAGACTATAGAACTATAGGTATAGAAATTATATTTTTCTTATTGCCATAATCTATACAATTATTTTTTTTTTATTGAATATTATAACAATAACTCTTGGACATTGGTTATAGTGAGGCCTATACAATTAAATATTAATTAATACCATTTATTAAAATTGCAATTTTATAAATATATATATTATTTTCGAAGCCCCAACCATCCATGATATAGCATATTTTGAATGTATTTAGGGATACATAGATTTCTGGTAGAACGGAACGGGGAACTCAAAACTCAGGGGACATCAAAACGTGAATTTTGTTGAATACTCGAATTAGAAATTTCTTGGGATTGTAATAGTTTCCTTTACTATATATTTCATGTATTGTAAGCGAAAGGAAAAACGGTTGTTTAAGTGTTATAATCGAACCTATTCTAACCAGAATGGCAGGATTGAAATTTATTCCGTGAGTCCGCCACGAAATAAATTTCAACCCATCCAAGCCGGATTCGAACAGATAGATTCTAGAATGTTATAAGGGACAACAGATTGCCTATATTGGGTTACCCAATTCAAGGTTTCTACGGATTATTCTTTCCAGGCTACCCGTAGCTTCATAACCGATCCCATTGGGACCAATCT